GAGATTGGGCCATGAAAAGGATGGCAACGAAACGAATCAAAATTATGGAAACTATTTTTTTATAAAAATTGGGAAAAACTGGTTAGATTTCTTAAAAATTCAAAATTCGAAAATTGTTAGAAAAATTGTTAGATTTCCTAAAAATTAGGTAAAAATCTAACGTGGCTTTTCAATGTTCGAGATGCTGAACATTACTATAATGGTAATTAACGGTACCGTCTGGGTACTAGAAAAACTTCTACCTTTATCAACCGTTCTTCCTGAAATTTCACACACATACGTGATACATAAAAATAAAAACATTTTACTCGTGTGATTTTTCTTAAAATATGAGAGAAACGTGAAATTAATAAAAAACGGCAAAAAAGGGGGTACTCTAAAATTTTTTATAACTTTTGCAATTAACGTGCTATGCAATATCGAGGAACATTTCATTCGATTTGCAACATAATTATCTAGCGGCTCTAGAACTTAGATTCTCGATTTTCCTGATTTTTTTTCTTGTGCGTTTTTCAAATTTTTCATTTCCCACCCAAATCCCTGGCCCGGCCCTCCCCCCCATATATAAGTCAAACCATGCACAAGTACAAGTAAATATAACTCAGTACTCACTGCAGTGAGTGACAGAGAGCGTATTTTCTCGTCGACGAAATCGTAAAGTCACGGACGGACAGACAGACAGACAGGCAGACGGACGGACAGACGGACATGGCGAGCACAATAGCGCATTTCTTCCATAGATGAGAAAATGCCCTTAAAAAAGGGCTTTTAGAGTCGCTAGGTATGGTCTTTACGAGTCGAATGACATATCTCTTAATTGTGTGGCTTGAAAATAATACAAGGAGATAATTTTTATGGTGATGTATTTTGTAAATTTTAAATGTTAAAAGGAGAAAAAAAAATTAATTATAAAAGAATAATATGCCAAAAAACTGCTTGATATTATAGCTCAAGCTTTCCCATTGCCATTTAGTTGCATTTACGGTACCAGCACGCGTCGTTAGACTTATTCTTGTCCAGTTTAGCGGTAATAATAAGATATAAATGAGACTTTTTCGATCTTTATACATATTAAAAATGTTTACTAGAAATTTAAAAGCGAAGAAAACACCACAAAAATTTAGCATATCTCTTTTGAAAACGTTTCGGAGACCAGCTCCATCGTCAGTTCGATAAATCTAGAACACAGATAAATGCAGAAAATTAGTTTGGAGTTAATAAAAAAAACACAAACAGAAGTTAAAAACCTAAATTTATAATTTTCTGCATTTATCTGTGTTCTAGATTTATCGAACTGACGATGGAGCTGGTCTCCGAAACGTTTTCAAAAGAGATATGCTAAATTTTTGTGGTGTTTTCTTCGCTTTTAAATTTCTAGTGAATCTGCGATTAAAGCAATCTAGTGACTTTTTTACTTAAAAATGTTTATTTTATAAAAGTTCAAAATGGCCTAACGCAAAAAAACATTGCATGTACATCCGTTGTATTTGCTTTTTTGAACGCACATCGTTTGTTGCTTTCAAACGAGTGCAAACACTTTGCAATTGACGCGAATCTATAGATACCATTTTCAAATTAAAATTTGTAAAAATTGTTATAGAATGGTCATTTAATAAAAACTGAAAACTGCTATATGCAAAAACTACTACACTACATCTATGAAATTAGCTTTCTGAAACGCGTCTTGTTTATGGCTTTCAAACAAGTGCAAACACTTTACAATTAACGAGAATAATGATTGATAAATACAGATTTTATTTAGAGAAATCTTTGTACATATTAATTGTTAAAAAATGTTCTTATTATATATTTTTGAAATTGCTTTACCCACAAATTAGAGTACGCACATACATGCGGTTTGCTGGGTTAGACGAGCTTTTTCAGAAGCTATACAAAATGAGCCAAAAAAACGGAAAAACCAAATTTATAGATTTTTTGAACCAGAAGTTCCCCTAAAAGGTGCAGCAACAAACCCCGTTTCTTTTTCGAATCGGAGAAACAATCACTATTTGCAATAGAGCTATTATTTTTATTGTGAAATCAAGCGACTTATTCAACATTGGAATCGATATATTTGTGTTTGTAATAAAATAGATTAAAGTGAAAAAAACTAAGGATTTCAATGCACTATAAGAGTGACTTAATACGACCCGGAAAGTAGCATGAGAGAACACATTTATTATTAAACCCTATTTGAAACGCTTTCAGTGGCTAAGTCATCCTTATTAAAATAGTTTCATATAACTCTACGCAATTAAATTGAACTTAATAACCTTACCTGAATGACAGACGATGTATAGTGCACCTTTGCCGCAGGATCAGCGATACCGAACCCTGCCTGGGGGTGCACGCGGTACCGGGATGAGCCCGTTGATGCTACGCCGGTTCCGTGCAGCACGGACAGCAGCATCATCAGCACCCTCGGTCCCCTCAGCATTCCAATGATGATGGATGATAAATGCATGCAATGTTTCTGTAAACAAATAGATCGGATGGACAGAATTTTATTTACCGGGTCATGGCAGAAAGTATAAAACCTATAATCAAAGGACAAGTCCGTGATGAATGTAATTGTTACGATTTATTTAATGAAGATACATATTGTAATTAATGTTTTAGGTCTAGCTAATATTTCACGGTCGTCGACAAACCAACTCGTTCGTCTGTATACTTGACTGAGAGCAAAGATATTATATATCATATAAGTTCATAAGAAAAAAGTTATCTATGAAAATACACTCGCCCAACATCAAGGTTGTGACGCTGTGGATGACCCGTTAGATCTGAGCGGCGTCTGGTAAGGCTCTGAATCCACAGCAAGTTTAAATTGGTTGATAAGCAACCATCCAGCTACAGTCAAGTAGCCATTGGCGATGGCCAATCCCGTGGAGTCAACAATCTAAAGTTGCCATAGACGACGGCCACGCCTATGGACTCGTCTATCGAATTCCAGTGATAGAAATCTTCTAAACCTTTTTTACCTCGCTTAATTTCGGGGCTTGATTGTCGTGGTGCCCAAAACTCTCCCAACTAATTCTGATGAGGACAGTTCAACTTCATGTTTTAAAGTTTTTAATTATCAGATATCTCAGAAGTTGGCCGGCGGGCGCAGCGAATGAATTTTCATGGACGGAAGTAGAGATGGATTAGGGAAGGCTGAACATTGGCCGCTCGCAAGCCACCGATAATTCGGAAAAAGTCTTCAACAACTAATCTTACTTGACGTCCTCGGCATGCTGATCTATGCATAAGCTAATCAACTCCTGCACGAAAAAAACTGTAGTACACGAGAAATACTGCAGTGCACGAGAAATACTGCAGTGCACGAGAAATACTGCAGTGCACGAGAAATACTGCAGTGCACGAGAAATACTGCAGTGTAAAACGTGGTTTTTAAAAATGATTTTTTATATTTATTTATTTTCTACTTTTTAGTTTAGCAATTTTAGCAATTCAAATCAATTTCCAGGGTTGGCAAGTCTGGATGTTCGAGAAAAAATACGATTCCGAACCGTGAACTTTTATTTTTTTTTATTTATATTTGTTTTTATTTTTTTATACCATTATTTCTGATGATCAAATCTCGAATTGTTAGGCAGCATAAGCATGCATGCCAAATTTCAAGTTTCTAGGATCTTCAGAAGTGCTCTAAATTAAGGTTTGAATTTTTGATGACAGACAGACAGACACGAAACAGAGCTAAGAAAAACGTGTAATAGTAAATAGACAAACCTACTGAAACAGGAAATAAAGTATAGATCTTTATTATGGTTAAATAAAATGAAGTTCCCTGGACTTAAACTCACGGCTAGCTCCTCTCACCTCGAGGAGCCACTGAGATACAGCGGTTCATCATTACAGCAAAGCTCTACATCATTACCTTCACCTCCCTCATTCAGAATCATCTCCATCATTGCCCGTCTTTCTCTCCCATGCGCCTCTTCTCCCTCACTAGGTTCTTTGCAGTTTCCTTCAAACTCCACATCATACATGAAACCCTAATTTTTTATCCTCTCTTTCCCACTGTATTTCTGCCTCACACACAACATCTCTGAGCTCATACAAAACAGCATATACGAATATATAGGCCCCACCTGTGCTGCCATCATACATGCTTCACACTATGGCATCGCTTGACTACCAACAGTAGATAGCACTGGCAGCAATGCCGATTAGTTGGAGTGGACACAGAACCAAGTTTAAATCAATAATGCTTCATTGATGCTGCACGATATAGTGCCACAAGAATTTTGTTTATAACGTAGCCAAGACAACCGCTTTACGTTGGAAAAGAGGAGCTGCAGGTTGAATGAATAAAAATATATTGTTATAATATCTACTTCCCATTCAAATTATCTTTTACGTAACCTTGAATATTTTATGGCACCTATTTTAACTAACTATGTTTCACTGCTCGCACATCTAAAAATATTATAGTGGAAAGACACGTTTCCAATAAAGAAATGGAGAACAAAACATGACGTGTTTTTTATTAATAAATGCACGCCTGTCAATAAAATGTAATTTCTAATTGCCAGTACTTGTACAGCAGAGCAGGTCATCTTCGCATATGAAAATACCAACTGCCATGTTAAATCATTCAAAATTTCAGTTCATAAATTCAAACTTTTAACCTTCACGATCCCACTTATTTTGACCTGCTAAAAATTTTACTGAGACTGCTATTCAGCGGCCCGGTATTCAGTAAATTGCGGGAGAGCGGACAACACATATAGGCTACCCCAACGAGATAGAGAGAGAGCACGGAATTAAATTAACAGTCATCAAAGGTTCTATTTGTAAAAGAATACTATAGTAATGAAATGCACGTACATTATTTAATAAACATACTATATAAATGAACAAGCGAACTCGTGACCAGTACATCAGTAATCCTAGGTAGCTATCAGACCAGAAATGTGAAGTTTAACATTAAAGAACACAATATTCGACTGGGCCCATCCGTACGTCACCGGTGTTATCGCCGAGAGTTAGTTACAAGTTATCGGAGATAGACTCGGTCAAATCAATTCAAAGTGTGAGAATCTAGCAGAGGAGCGCAGTGCTTGCCGAGATTACGCCGCGACTCTTTTCCAACGTTGCTAACAAGTTGTAGCTTCGTTCTACACTGTTCACCGAGTGGGAAAACGGCTGTTCAAATAAACGACATAATCCATGCGACGTACAGCTCCGGAAGCGGTATCGTCTTGAGACTGGTACCCTAGCTCCGCTTGCCTGCAGCCGCACCCGTCCACGGCCGACGAAAGAAGTAATCGAAACCTAAGAAATTGGTTTTAAGTAAATGGTTGACAGCAGCATCGGTGGTAAATCCAAGGTATTTCCGTGCCAGACAACCGACCAATTACTGCGTCCTGCCACGCCCGTCCTGGCAGGCGGCGCAATTAATCCAGAGTGATCGATCAAACTTTAATTGATTTAACTTTCGGCCCAATGGACTTGATTCATGCAATGCAGCGACTTTAAGTGAAATTGATAACTTACATTGAATTTAGTTTTGCACTCCATTCATATACTGGAACAGTGTGGCTGAAATATGAATGAAAATTTCTCGTTCATAAAGTAAACTGAACCCTGACAAGGGAATAAAAATTGTAATAAATTACTATATACTTATAAAATCTGTCAAATTTCAATGATAAATTTTCGGAGACCACACTTACGGTGAAGTTTCTTTCCTTTTAAATTTGTAGTCAATTCATCTTCGCTCATAGATTGAAAAAATATGATAGGTAATATCAGCTTCATACATGCAATGATATGGCTATTCATTAATTTTTCATATTATACCAGTGTATTGGCCATGAATATAAAGTGTTATCTGTTTTACCCCCACTTTTTACTCAATGAAAGACACTTTTAGACATATACCAACAGTATCAGCATTTTCTGATCTTGGTTTGAGATCTTCCCGAAAAATGGTGAAAACCAACTTTTTTCTCGTATAGTGAATCTTTCACACATCGCCAATTTGTTCGAAAATTATTTCAATGATTTATGAATGCAGTGTTCAAACGGCCAGTGGCTCAAGCAAGTTGTTAGACTTAATTATTGCCAAATTATGCCCTTGTTTATAAAAACGGGGCCTGAACTTCCCATCTCTTGTCGATTTTAATCTTTTGGAAAAATTTATTGGAAAATCTTTAATGCTCGTATTAATAAATATTTACGAGAGAAATTTTATTTGCGTCACATTTCAGTGTGACAACACTAAGAGAAAAATTGTGAAAGAAAAATTCACTTTGTAAAATTAATTGCAAGTAAAATTAGTTTTTTCATGTCAGCTATTGTATTTAAGAATAAACTTATGCTTCGCTTGCTGTAATTACCGATGTTTAAACTTTTGAGGAAGGAGGTTTTTTGTTAGCATGAATTGCCATATGACAAATCGTTTCCATGGTTAAGACTATTATAAGCTATCACTAACATAAACTACAGATTTCCTTGAACACAAACGAATAAGTTATAAGTTTTAAAGATATTCAGGGATAATAAATAAGATTGAATAGGTAGTGCATAGATATGTATTTAGAGTTATAAGAGTGCAAAAATTTCTGGATTAGTGGAAAAACTCCCATCATTTCAACAGATGTTAATAGATTTAAAGATTGTAAAAAATGTTCAATTTAATTGCCGTTTCATAATTTATGGATGCAAAATGGATTTTCACTCGCTAATAAATTCACAATTTTAAACTTTGCCACAATATATACTGTCAGTTCTTTCTAACCAATGCCGCGATTTCAATTCGACCGTCGACTTATCGTCCATTGTATGTCCGGTTCACCCTCCTTTTGGTTTATGCCTATCACCATAAAAATCGTTAAGAATGTGATAAATATTTCGGGAAGAGACCGTCTAATGATGAACAACCAACATTTCTTACTTCAACGCATGCAACAGTTGAAACATTAGCGTAAATTTGTCGTCACTTCAAATTGTTGCTGGAAATTTTAATGCTGGCTAGTCAGATACAAATTCTCATAAAGGCTGTAGTTGTTACCAGTACGTAATGCTGTAATATATATCACGCATAGTTATGACGATAGAGTAAATGCTACAATCAGGCATAATAATGAAATGCATAAATTAAAATTAGGAAAATAATTCATAACAATGGACCCGGGATGCGTTAGACATCTTGTTAATGTTAAATGTTGAAAAAACTACAGAGGATAATTTTCAGGTGAGCGTATCGTGTTCAGAGAACATTAACTAAAAGAGTTCACCAATAAAAGCTGTCTAAATATTGAAGGATCGCCGATTTTGCTAAGTCATATACAATTACGAGAACATTTGTAGGTTAAAATTAGGCAGTATCAGAGACTGAAGGGTTAGGTACTGGCGATAATTATTGTCAACTCACAACGGTGTAACATTAGTAATTGTTACCTGCAGGGTATTAGCGAATAATAAATGAATGTGTGGCGTTGATTACCGAAAAACTGGGTGTCATTAATGTTATGAACGCCTAGTTCAGCG